TGGAACACTTCCTGAAAGAATAGAGTCTTGAAAGATTAAAAACAGAGGTTCATTTATTTCCACACTTAGTTCCTTATGTGCTCTTGGATGAATACCATCAGGCAGTGGAGCTCTGTTTATATTAACTGTCTTTAGTTGCTGCAGCACCTTGAATTAATCAATTACAATTTTTCTGCATGTTTTTTGCAGCAATCATTTGCATATCTATTGCCATAGGTTCTTCCTTAATATATACAGAGGAGAAATAGTTTTTTAAAATGTTTGCCTTTTCCTGGTCTTCATTTACTAACACCCCCATCTCGGTTTTTAGTGTACCCACACTTTCATTTTTTATTTTTTTAGAATTTTTGTACTTAAAAAAACGCTTTGGCGAATCTAATCATCTTTTTGCATGCATTATTGGCTTCCTTATATCTTTTATAGGATGCCTCTGATTTGTCAGATTTAAAGACTTTGAATGCCCTTTTCTTATTTTTAAATTTCTTGATTCACTTTACCACTAAGCCACATTGGTTTCAATTTGTTTCTTTTATATTTATTTCCCAGTGATACATACTGAGAAATGTACCTTTCTAATATTTGTTGGAAGATGTTCCATTTATCCTCAGTGTTCTTTTCGCTAAAGAGTTTATGCCAATCAATTAATTGTAAAGCTCCCCTTAACTTATTGAAATTGGCTTTTTAAAAATAATATGTTTCAGTATACCCTACCTATGTGCTTTTATTTTTTTAAGTTTATTTCAAAGGACACTATATTGTGATCACTATTTCCTAAGTGCTCACCTACTTGAATGTTGGTCAAAAGATCAACGTTATTAGAACCAGGTCGAGACAAGCGTCCATTCTAGTTGGTGCTTGTACAAGTTGTGACATGAAGATGTCATTTAACAAGTTCAAAAACCAACTTCCCTTTGCTGAACTACTAGTCCCTCTGTCCCAGTTTATGTCTGGGTAATTAAAATCTCCAATAATTAACGTGTTACCCAGATTTGCAGCTTTCTCAATTTGCTCAAACAACTGTTGTTCCTCATCAATATTAACATTAGGTGGTTTATAACATATCCCAACCAATAACTGATTTTCCGTGTTGGTCCATTTTCTTTAAATACCCCTCCCTAGCTTCCAATTGGTGCATTTTCCAATATCAGGCCCAATCCTCACATGTGGTCCATGATGTGCTCCAAAATGCCTAGTAACATCCTTAGATAAAATAAATTAGGTCCAGGCACTCATGATTGCTGCAGGAAAGCAAGTTTATTGGAACAAAAAGTACAAAGTTTCGGCCTCCACACAGGCCTTTATCAAGCTGTGTAGGCTGAAACGTTCCACTTTTTGTTCCAATAAACCTGCCTTCTTGCAGCAATCCTGAGTGTTTGGAACTGATTTATTTTATCTACTAACCTGGGTTTTGCCAACCCTGGCCCTGATAAGCACCTGGATTCCTAAGTTGCTCTTCCATATAAGCCCCAGACTCTCATATTGCAGCTTAAACTATTTGTGCATCCACAGACACAACGTAATCACCAGACATGGCTGTTGCTCACCGTTTTATATAGACCTGAGGCAGACAGATAAATATCTTAGGAGAAAGGTAATATCTTACACAAGTCTCACTTATGTTACACAGGTGGACTTCCTGTCTTTATTTCAAATCCTTCTCTCATGGTATAACTAAAGAGTACTCTATCATTCAACTGTCTATGTAATGTTCCTTAAGCATAAGTAAACAGTATGGCTTTACACTTAAAGCCACAATACAGAATCTTCTCGGAGACACTTTTCAGCGGTATTGGAGGATCTACAAACAGCTACATCTTCAGTTTGGTAGATCACTGCTCCGCGGCAGAAATACAAGAATGTTCCTCGTTTGCAGTAGGGGTTGATCACTGTCCATTTAATGACTGACAAAGTACCCAGAAGTACTCCTTTCACCAGCGAGTGGGCCATGCTGATATCTAGTGATGATCACCTATATTAGTATAGTGCTCAAAAGGGTCATCCCCAAGAAAACTAAAGGAATTCAAGTAGTTATGTTGCTTGCAATGTTCGTCTAACAGCATAGTTTTGTACTCTGTGTAATATATTCCCAATCCAAAAATTTTTAGAAGCAAGAACGCCTGTAGCGAATTGTATAAGTTATAAAAATATCACAGAGATAATTTTCTAAGGCCTGTGATTATTGTTTGAAGATCTCTAAACTCCTCTAAGCTTAGAGTGTATTATAGCTTTGTCAGAAAGGCAAGGACACTATCTTCCATCATCATATATGACAATTATACAACACAAATTCAAAGTCTTAGACAAGAATTAGGCTCACTGCCTTGGGTTTACCCTCCTTTAGTTCATTTTATCGGACACACTTTGTTTTTAAACAATATTCAGTTACAATAAATCCAGCTCTGCTTCAGTTGCTTTGGGAATTTAAAGAAGCTTGGGAAATGCATATCATTCTGGATAAAGCAGAACCTATGCAATTAAATTCCATGAAAAAGGTATTGAATTTTCACTCAATTGGTCTCCAAACCCATTAATACAACTTAGCATTATCGTTCCCAGGAATGTTTTAAAATTCTATGATCTCAATTTTAGAATTATCTTAGATATTAAAATGTATAAGTACTCTCCTCGTGAGGAAATATACAAATTAAAGTAATACTCTGAGCACTAACCCAACTTAAAGTGACACTGTCACCATCTGGTGAATTTGCAGAATTTGCAAATACCCCCAACAGTGACAAATCGCCTCAGGGGGTTCTGCTTACCTGAGCCTGTCCCTCACCGGCACTGCCATCTTCTTATGGCAGATCCTCTTCAGCATGCGTAAGAGTACAGTATTGAGGTCTATGGATGATACCGTGGGCTCCTCCATAGATAAAACCAGATAAGCGCAAAAAAAAATGAGGGCTGCACCAATAAATGGTAAATGCTATGTGCACCAAATATGTTGAAGGTACATACAGTTTCAAACAAATGTTTCAGGTTGTGCCCTTTGTCAATTCAACATGCACTTAAGGGGGAACTATAGTGCCCTCCTCCATCAACGACCAAACCTGGAGTTAGCCCTGAAAGGTAATTATTGCAGTTTGCCCCCGCCCCTCGAATGTGTCACCAGAAACCCCTTTCATGGGGACTTGCATAAAAGGCCAGCTGGGCTCCAATTAAAGCGTTTCCAGTTCTACCCTCACCACAGAGCCTTGTCTCGTGTCTGTAGGGCACAGCTATAACAGCTATTTTACTATGTTTTAGGATTAACGCTTCCAGGATTATTGCAGAACATCTCTGGCGGCGAAACCCCTTTTCTCATTGGGGTGTCTGCCACAGTTCTTTTAACCTTTTGATTGGACAGGAGAAACAACTCACATCATTAGGCAGACCTCCATCATGTTAAACTAAATTGTGTGTTTGCCCTACCAGCTCCTTCTCCATCACATCCTCATTTTCTAGCACGCTGAATGGAGCTCTGTATCACAAACAAAATACAAAGTGCTTGATCCACTTCCCTTTTCGTTTGTTTTGTGATACGTCCATCTGGCATTTCAGAGTTGTGGAATGCAGAAGAATCACTGATTGCTCTAAATTCTATTGTAATTTGAATGAAACCAAATGCAAAAATCTAATATGTACCAAGCTCATCAACAGTGTCATTTCAGAACATTAAACCTTAAATGTATTTACATTTCTCCATCATGCATACTGAAGCGCCCCACTTCTATCATCTGTTAGGGACAATTTGTCTCATGTATGCTATTATTCATCTCAGGTGCCATCAGGCATCCTCAATCCCATATGCATATTCAACATCCTCCTTATATACCATTTTCCAGCCTGAATAACATACTCACTTTTACCCAATATGGCACTGTATGCACCAAATATCATTACTCATCCTAAATTCCATATGGCATTTCCATTTACATATCATTACCTACACCATATGCTATTTCACTCTGTATACCATTATTCATACTCAATTCTATTTGTCATTTCACCCGATAAGTCATTACTAATTTACTGTAAACTTGCTATGCATTTTATGGTGCCAGTCAATGGTTGCCAAGGAACTCCATTAAAGGCAGCTGCCTGGTATGTTTTTCCAGGGCATGTTGTAACTGCTTCTCCTTCGCCCAGTAGTTGCTATGTGTAAAGTTTGCTCTAGACGAGGAAGGATATGATGTTGCCTCACTACAAACTTCTAACAATATGTATCCTGGAATTAGATTTTCCTACCCTTTTTATGTTTTGTATGTTAGAGTTAATCATTTCATCATTTTATTTTTTTTTAATTCTTTATTTTTTCTGTGCAAGTGATTGACAAACATGTTTAACGTGCCACAACAGCACACATTCGCTTTACATCATAGGCATAATCATGGCACAAGTAAGTTGCACATTTTTCTTTTTGTATAGTAAACATGGCTGGCTAGTCTAAGTCATGAGGTATAGAAATAATAATGGTAGATACATTAAGCTTAGCTGACCGACAGTGTGTTGAGTAGTTATAAGATTCATCAGATTATACAAGCTTAGATCAAGAATTAATATGACCTGAGTAAGGAGATTTCTTATGCATTTTCAAACAGACAAGCTCGCAGTGTTACGGTCACAATTGTAAGCCTAGAGAGACATGGTTTATCATACGCTTGACATAAGTGTTAACTGCCTGTTTCCTAAGTCAGTGAATGTCATGAGGGATGACAAGCATAACAGTGTAGATAGGAGAAGCAAAACAAAACAAAACCAACCAGAAAATAAAAGAAAAAGAAGGCACGTTAGAAAAAGAACAATACAACTTATGAGCTGGATGTTCGCTGATTGTGGGTCAGGGTCCTGATCTGTGTGTTGTTAGTGTCCCGTGAGGTTTTAGTTAGGCATGGCCCCAGCTCCACGTGTCCTTAGATACCTTTCCTCTCACCGGTCGCCCTCTAGGTTTTATCTGTCTGTCCAGCTTGGCGGTTGTTTGCCAATCCGTGGTTCTCACACTTGGTGAGTGAGTGTCCATCTCATTTCGGATTGTGGGGCGGGTGAGAGGGTGTCTTATTGGTGTTGCTATGCTGCCTAGGACCAGCGCTGGTACGGTGGGGCGCTTGCTTCAGAGTGGGCTGCAGGGCAAAGCCGCTCACCGGGGACGGTATCACCTCCACTATTACTGGTGTGTCGACAGGCTTAAGAATCGGTGATGTCCGTTCACGTGGTGCCTGTTGCCGCTGGTGCGGTGTATGCTGCTTTTCTCTCCGCCATTTTGGTGCTTTCCTCACTACTGGAGCCCCGGGCTGCCGCTGGGCGAGAATCCGCCTGAGAAGTGAGTGTTTCGTCGGTTGCCGTGGGGACTCTTGGTGCGCCCGATGCTTTGGGGCTAAGTCGGGACTTTGCCCAGGTTCGATCCTCTCGGCTAAACTGGTTGGTTGGCGCGTGGCGGCCATCTTGCGGCCCTCCTGAGGGGCGCTGCCCGGTGGGTATTGCGCGCCAGGACAGCTGCTCAGGCCCGACCTGGTGTGACGGCCGGCACCCTGACAGACCGGGATGACCCCCCCGGTCCAAGGGGGGGGGAGGAGCGAGACGACGGCCGGAGACCCGGGAGAGCGGTCGTCTCGTCCCGGCTCAAGCTCCGGTGCGCTCTGGGCCCCTGTCGGGTTGCTGTCGGTACTTGGGCGGTGTCTCCGCGTACCCCAGTGGCTGGGGGGTCAGTGTGGTCACCTTCATGGGTCATTATTCGGGATTGGCCTCCAGCTAGCTCCGATTTTCGGACCCTAGAGCGGGAGCTCAGACAGAGCACGTCTGATCCCGCCGGCGGTCAGGCCCCGCCCCCCCATTTCATCATTTTAGAACAAGCCTAACAACCATCCCAATTTTGGCGGAACAGTCTCTATTTTAGGGTCTTGTCCTGCCATCCTGACTTTGTTCCCAGGTTTCCTGCTATTTGGGGACACCAGGGAACTGTCCCCAGAAAGTGTAGTGCGAACTCATAATTAGGAATACTGATACTATGCTCAGGGTACTAGAACCCTGCAGAGAGACGTGACACAGTCCACTCTGCATGGTTTGCCTTTGGTGGTCTGGACTACTTGATTGATAGTCTGACTTGCCAGTTCTTTGGTTGACAGGCTGACTTACCAAATGGCATAGCCCCTTTCTGGACTAGATAGGGGACTAGACAGGGTGCCAGTTTTGGGGCAAAGTTATAATGGAAGGCTTGTCTTTTAGTCAAAGTCCTTGCAAACAGTGGTAGATGGTTTAAAGACAATGCATCACTAAACTTCCTGGATTTTACTATTATCCCTATAACTTTTCTCCATTTAACTCTATGTACTCTTCAGAGCCAGTGATACATAACATCTTGTCAGGTTACCATAAACCTGCACGAACACAAAAAAAAATTATAATTTTTTTTTTTTTAAATACAAACCTTAAAAATACACTCCAGATCCCTAGAGCAATGCAGCTTGCTGAAGTACCTTATGTGTAAAGAGTGTGTTCTCTGGTTTTTAATTTTACAAAAAAGGGAAGATTTCAATAGAAATTGGCACTTTTATAAATTAACCTTGTTACACTCCCTGGGTGTCAGACAACCAGTCCTGTTACTTCCTAAATTGTTTAGCTCAGTCGAGCTAAACTCAAGAGGACTCAGTTCCTCACAGCCTTGCAAAAACTTCTCATTGAGCTGCATTGGAAAGTCTGTGATTGGACAGTTAAAGAACATCTGGGTGGATTAGAAGGGGACGGCTTGTCAGGGCTTCAGAACAAAGAGATTTGCCTCTTTTGCAAGATGTTTAGTAGATATACCCTAATGACAAAAAATGCACAATTAAATGCATGTGGGGTATATATATTATTTATTTATTTTTATATTTGTGAAGTGGTGTGTCTCTTTAAGTTCCAAAAAAATAGTTTCACAAAAATCAAATCAGTCCAATAATTCTCAATTTAATTAATCTACGCCACATAAACTTTTTCGGGGTCAGAGAACTTACATAGAAAGCAGGAAACTGTTTCAACAAAATGCTACTATGAAAAAGGCTGCCGAAATGCAACATAGTACAGGATATTGTAGAACATAGTTTTGTGCCCGTAGCACAGGACTGCAGATGACTAATCTCTAACATTGAAAAGTTAGTCTTGCTCTCTCCCACCCAGATAACCTTGGGCAACTTCCAGAGATTAACTTAGAACTCGAACAAAGCTCTTCCATCATGCAATGATAAAACAAATGTCTCTTCAATCTTTCTTGATGATACTATATCCAGTGTGTCAGTAGATAGCACCCACTGCCTATCTTCACACTTCTTGTCATTACTATTATTAACGAGGGGGATTAATTAGCCATATATATCCATGGTACTCAATGTCAAGTGAGGGACATCATTAAAAGACCAGTTATCTCCGAGTATCTTGGTCTGTCACAGCAGCTTCTCTTGAAGTGTTATTGTGTGATTAGGTAATAGTCTAGGATATTATAATACAACTAATTGCACATGAAGTTTCTCCTTTCCCAAGCTATATTTCAGCATTATTAAAACAGTCACCTTTGTGGTGGAATAATCATTACCTGATATTAATGGGATAGGAGAGAATATGAACACGTTTTTTAATTATAATTTACCTGCTATCTGTGAACCTACGAAGTGCATTCTAAAACAGTCAAAATTGTTTCTCGGAAACATTTTTTTAGTGCAATCTAATGACCAGTCGCACATCACAAAATATCGTTACATTTAAAAAAAATGCCAGTACATAATAGATTTTGTATATAAACCACTTTCCCACCAGCTGCGATATATAATTTTCAGATAAAACAGGCTCAGATTAACATAAGTCCATAAAACAAATTAGAACAAGTCTTTTGAACCCTGACAGCTCTCAATACATGTAAATTAAGTTCTTCATTCTTTTAAGTGCTATTCAGTGCTTTTGAGTGCTATTCCATTGTACCGAATGCCCAGCCCTTTTATCTAATTTTTGTTTTTTGTTTTTTGCAGTGCAGACGATTAGGACATACAGGCTTGAGGTACCCCAATGGCAATCCTCAGGCATTTGTCACGTATTACATTTGGAGTATAAAGATAAGTCATGCACAATTTTTAAATATAATTATGCGGTCCAATGTCAGTGGTAACGGCAATAAGCAGGGGGATAAGAAGGCTATGCAAACTGAAAACATGATGGTTCAGGATGCTGGGAGTTATCCCATGTTCAACATCACGTTTTTTAACAGGCTATGTATACTAATCCTGGGATTTGTAAACTGATATGACTGTACACGGTAAATTAGCAAGCAACAAAAGGTATTGTAGGCAACTTAAGTGAGCTGAGCATTTCAACTTTGGAAGGCCACTGGAGCCCCTTATAGCAGGCATCAGACCTTTTTTTTCAAGTTAAGCGCAAACATACATGCTAGTTGAACCAAGCTGACTGGCCTCCCAGCCCACCCCAGCCCCTGGTCTGGCTAGGCTTAATAATGATGACACCCCAGGTTAGAGGCAGACCCCGCCTGTTCTGCCCCACCAGTCCCAGGTAACAACATGCTCCGATGACTTGCGTCCCCGGCCATCAGCCGACATCGAATGAGCCTCCAGAGTGCAAGGCTGAGCCGCAGGGTTCTGTCTCCTCAAGGCTCATGGCCTAGGTGAGTGGGTGCTCGTAGGCAGAGAGTCCTTCTCCAACCTGTGGACTGTTGGTGTCTTGGTGGCTGAGGGGCCGCTGCAGAAGAGCTCATACAGCTTCATCCTTTGGGGTTCCGCAGGCAGACATGGTTGGCCACCATCTTAGCTTCCAAGCGCAGGAGTCTGACTGTTGGGTAAGTTGTACCATTCCTCTCCCTGCTACTTCAGATGCCCAGTGGGGGCCAGGATAATCCCCACCGGCCCAAAGTGGGGGGGGGGCGGAATGGGACAGGCAAGCACATCAGAGAGCCAGTATGTGGTAGCCAGGGGAGAGAGCAGGGCGGCTGTCCACCCCACTCCTCTCCCGGGTAGGCTGTAGACTCCAAAGTTCTTCTCACCCGCTCGGGCTCCAAAAAACTCTCGATCCCGGAGTCCGCTGCTGCACCAGCATCCTCTGTTCCATTAAGTTGTGGTTTCTGGGCTCGGTTTTAGTGTGTGAGCCGCAAATTCCAGCTTTCAATGATGATTCCCTGAGGAGCCTCTCCTGCATGCGACTGGTCAGCATGGCGGCCTTGCCCCACCCTTGTTTTTTTTTTTTTATTCTTCACAGGTTGTCATTAATGCATTTAATATAAATGTCAGGGTTATTCACTAAAGGCAGTGTTTACATTGCCCCTGGGGACTCCTCAAATGTCCACTGAAGGTGCTTTCTGGGGCAGTGCTGCACAGTAGCCAGCAGTGCCGTTCAGCGTCCCCACGCTCTGTATGGAGATGCTGAATTTTCCTCATAGAAATGCATTGATTCAACAGCGTTTGGCCCTGCTCCTTGACAATTTTAGCCAATCCAATGCTTTCCCTATGGGGAAGCATTGAAATGGCTAAAAATCAGCCATTTTAAAGATATCACCAAAGGGTCGGGGCCAGCACCGGCGGATCCACGCGAAGCTGGAAATAAGGTGAGTTTTAATTCCTTTTAAGGGACCTAAATGGTGGTTTTAACACTATAGAGTCAGGAATACATGTTTGTGTTCCTCACGCTATAGTTTTCCTTTAAAGCTCAAAATAGCTTAACTGGAAAAAGTCAGCTGTGCTTTCAGTTTGGCTACGCTGTCCTTAAATTTGATATAAACCTTAAATTTTCATTTTAGTAAATAACCCTTAGGGTTAGTCATTAAAGAGAGAATTCAAAGTGAATTTCAAATTTAAGGAAAAAGTAGCTGAATAAAGTATAGGTGACTTTGATAATTTTTCATTTGGAATTCATTTTGGATTCTAACTTTAGTAATTACCATGTGTGTGTAATTTCTATGGTATACAGGAGGCTTCCCCAAACTCCGGCCCTCCAGATGTTGCTGAACTACAACTCCCATGATTCTATGAATGAAATAGATAGGCTGAGAATCATGGGAGTTGTAGTTCAGCAACATATGGAGAGTCGGAGTTTGGGGAAGCCGGGTATACAGTGTTATACTGTCTGCTTAAAGTCTACTCATTTACTTCAGGTGCACGGTTTAAAATAACAATAAAACGTATGGTTTTGTAACACCTGGATTAGCTTACAATGTCTCTTTCAGTGGGTCGCCATCATTCATCCGATTGATTATCCCCATACACTGTTTTTACTTATTAGGATTCTTTTCTTTTATGAATTGTTCCAGATGATTGGAGAAAAGCAATTGTGGTGCCTATATTTAAAAAGGGTTCAAAAGTTTAATCCAGAAATTATAAAACCACGAGCTTCCACCAGGTGATATAAAGCCAGATGATGAAGAGCTTGCTAACACAGTTGGTGAAAAGGATGATGGCTCCACTTACATATCTTT